GGGGGGTGGGGGGGGGGGGGGGGGGGGGGGGGGGGGGGGGGGGGGGGGGGGGGGGGGCGCAGGAGGAGCCGGAGCTGCTGCGGCTGGCGCTGGCGGCGGCTCGGAGCACAATTGAAAGATGGCTGACTGGCGAGGGCCGGCCCCGCGCGCCGGCCCCGCCCCCCGCGCGCCGGCCCCGCCCCGGCCCGCGCGCCCGCCAATGGCGCACAATGGAGGGAAGGCGCGGCCCCGCCCGCGGCCCCGCCCCCGGCCCGTGTGTACAAACACAAAAGGCACGCCGCGCGCGCCGGGGGATTCCCTGTCCCCGCGTCCCCCCGCGAGGGCCGCGCTCCCACCCCCAGCGAGCCGCGAGGCTCGTCCTCGTCACCCGCAGCTGGGCTTGCTGGGCTCTTTCCGTGTGGCCAGCAGGACTAGGGGAGTGATTTCCCCCCCCGTATTCGGCAGTGGTGAGGCCACTCATCGAGTGGTGCGTCCAGTTCTGGGCCCCTCACTACAGGAAGGACGTGGGGATGCTGGAGTGTGTGCAGAGAAGGGCAACGGAGCTGGAGAAGGGTCTGGAACATTCATCTTACGACGAGCTGCTGAGGGAGCTGGGGTGTTTATCCTGGAGAAAACGAGGCTCCGGAGAGACCTTATTGCTCTCTACAAACTCCCTGAAAAGAGGTTGTAGCCAGGTGGGGATTGGCCTCTTCTCACAGGCAACCAGTGACAGGACAAGAGGAAATGGCCTTAAATTGCACCAGGGAAGGTTTAGCTTGGACGTTAGGAGGAATTTCTTCACAGAAAGGCTGATTGGACACTGGAACAGGCTGCCCAGGGAGGTGGTGGAGTTACTGTCCCCTGGATGTGTTTAAGGAAGGACTGGATATGGAACTTAGTGCCATGGTCTAGTTGACAAGTGGTGTTCGGACAAAGGCAGACTCGATGATCTTAAAGGTCTTTTCCTACCTTACTGATTCAGTGATTTTTTTTTTTCTTTACGTAGAAGCAAAACAAAAAAACTTCTCCCTGTAAGCTGGCCCATCAGAGCCCACCCAGTGAGGATCCGCTCATACTTGGTCTGTAAAATGAGAGCTGAGTGTCCAGAGGGCACTGCTGGGGATACTTCTGTCTCAGAAACACACTTCAGGCACAACGGTTCACAAGGAAAATCTACTGTTCGGGAAGGAAGAGGAGCCTCATTTCCTGCATCAGTGCTGTCCCACTGTTGGGAGTTTGAAATGCAGCTATTGGAAAAGCAACTGTAAGTTTAGCAATCTCATCGCCAGCAGATTCCAACCGGTTGTATCAGCTGCCATGATGCTTAGTGAGAAAATTTGCTCTTTATTTTCTATTAATGTCAGGCTCAAAACGCCCTGGGGGAAAGTAACCTGCACTCTAATACAACTGAACAGTCACTGGCAATTGTCTTAAGCACACCTCAACCATAGAGTCAGATCCTCTGCTCACACAAACTGATGCCACCATCTTGTCTGTCATTTAGGCATTAGAAGGAGCCATATTTGATTTGCAAAATCTTTATTACAGATGATGATGTAATGCAGCTATGTGTGGAGACATCCAAACAACCTCCAGCAGCAGAAGTGGTTTAGCCATGTGAGCATTCACTTGGGGCTAATCAAACCTGACAAGAAAGAGAGTGTTATCATGGGCAGAACACCCTGCTAAGATAGATATAGTCTGCGTTAGTGCTCAGATAAAAACAACAGACTGCACTACACAGACATGACCAGACATGCCACATATACACCTCTGACCCTACGGTGAGTTTATGAGAGGTGAATGCCAGGAAACAGAAACCACAAAGGATTTTATTTATACTTACAGAAGTATCGGTGGATTGATTGATATTGATAGTATTTTATTTGAGAACAGCACCTTAGTGGACACTCAGAAGCGAACTCTGCGCTGTTCAGTATTATACAGTAACAGTATTTGCAAATGCTCTGTAAACTCTAAGAGCCAGGCACCGAAATTGGCATTAATTCCCTACGCAACGCACACATCCCATGATGAGCAGCCGGAAAAGTTAAAAGAGGGCAGCACTAGTTCCCAGCCGCAAGGAGCTGCCCGGAGGTTAATAATCCATAGGCTGTCCCTGTCAGCTTTAGCTCTGCCCGCTCCCGGAGGTGCGGAGGAAGCGGCCGCGCTTGCAGCGTTCTCCGCCCGGCTGTTCCCGCGCCCTTCTCCCGCCGGAGGAGCTGCTCCGCCGCGCTCCCCGGCTGCGGGCCTCCGTGGCGGCCGGGCGCACCGAACCCCGAGGTCCCCGGCGGGGACCGGACCCCCGCGCCGGGGCTGCCGCGGGTGCCGCCGGACGTGCCCCCGCCGCCATTGGCAAGAGAGCCCTGGAATTCCATGACGCCAGGCGGGGCGGGGCGCGCGGCTGTCCCGGCCCCGGAGCTGCCCCCTCCCATAGCGGGCCCGTGTTTTCCTCCGGGAACTCGGGGCCCGAGCAAGCTCTGGTGTCTCCTGGAGGGCTGCAGCTCTGCTCCCGCCCTGCCGCTGGCAGCTCTGGCTGGTTTCAAACGCGTGAGGAACACCGCAGGCAGGACTACAGGGTACTGTCTGCCCACTGCCTGCAGCGGAACACACGGAAAGCCCAGAGAAGGAAAAACTATTCCAGTATTATCAGGTTTTGCACCTTCGTTTCATCCTCGCAGATTAATGCCATTAAACCCGTGCTTTTCCAGGGCTATAGAAACAGGTACGGCCCTTTGAGCTTTACCACAAATGCTATTTGACTGCCTACAGGACAGCACAGAAAGAGCTGGCCCAACTCTAAAAAGACTTCAGACGTTCATCTTTCACTGGCAGCACCGATAAGCCTTTGCTTCTCCTTTCCGAAGGCCTTTATCTCTGCAGACCACAGGCATCTTCCACCCTAAGGCATCCATAAGCGGCCATGAAGAAATCTAACCTAATGAGATTCCACTGGTTTAGCCGGCAATAACATGCCAAGGACAACTGCAGTACTTCATCCTCACCCAGCGTAACCACCGCTGCTGCAAACGTGGCCAGATTGCTACGGGAAAGAAGATTAGGGTGGAAAACAGCTGGTGCAGATTGCAGCCAAAGAAGACTCAAATGATAATGAATTGCAAGGAGGAACATTCAAATCAGAAGTTGTTTTCAGCACCTTTCACAGAAAGCAGACACCCCTCATTCAGCAAAAAAGAGGCAGATTTCCACTGTTTCTACTCCTTTGGGCTGTCAAAATAGCAGACATTTTTCAAAATAATCTCACCTTTCCCTTGTTGGGAAGCTCTCATCTTGCCTGGGAGACTCTGCATGGAGGAAGGCAGGCACTTTTCCCATCAGGATGCATTAATTGCAAATATTACAGCAAGCTAAAAATACTGTTTCAAAATGTTACTAGGAAAAGAAAACAAAACAAAACACAAAAAAGGCAAAATTAACATGTTGTTGCTTTGGACCTTTCCAAACAGTTCCTAGTCAGCTTCCAATGCCAGTGTAATGTGCTGGCCCAGTTGGAGGAAGAGCTACCACATCAACCCCAGTAACATCACAGGCTGCAGGAACATCTTCAAACAACTGCAGCAGCTGTTTCCCTTTGCAACAACACAGATTACAAGCCAAA